GAAAAGACGTACTGGATATACTCGAGTATAAGCCTAGTTTTTCAGCCCTTTTTTAAGGCTGAAAAAGCTGCGCTTGGCTTATACTCAAGTCAAAGTTATTTATTATTTTTCTCTGTTATTACTATTATTTTTATTACATTTATGTTGAGATTAATTTCACAATTTAGCAGCAGATCAGTTGCACAACTTCAGCGCTTTCCAGTAGCTTCTTCTTGCACAGTATTTTCAGTCAACTGCTCCCGCACTCTGGAACTCTTTTACAGACACTTGAGCACATGCCCGGCCATTGTCGGTTTTACTATTGTTTTCTCCTCCAGTCTAGATGACACTACAAACTTACCACAGCACACGGTTATATCTTGTCTTAGCAGACAGGTTCTTTAATTACATATAGCCTTCAACGAACAGCATCACAGCACAAGGAGAGAGAATACACTGTACATGACTTCCTTATATACAATTCTATACAATTACACATAGCAATCTCTGATTGGTTCCCAACTCATTGACTTAACTCAAACCCAGGATTGCATCATTCACAATCACCTGGACTAGGCCAGAACACATTCCCCAATTGATGTCCTATATACAGTTAATGCATGACTCAGCATTTCCAATAGAAGCCTATTAGCAGTGCATGACTTGGCTAGATTACATTACAATACATTGTAAAACATGACAATTTGTTATTTTTATTATTGGTATTATTACATTTGCATTATTTTACTCTATTATTATTTTATTACATTTATTGTACTCTATTTATTATTATTACATTCATTATTTTACTTTATTGTTGTTATTACATTTATTATTTTACTCTATTATTATTTTATTACATTTATTTTACTCTATTATTATTATTACATTTATTATTTTACTCTATCATTGGCATTATTACATTTGCATTATTTTACTCTATTATTATTTTATTACATTTATTGTACTCTATTATTATTACATTTATTATTTTACGTTATTATTATTTTATTACATTTATCATTTTACTCTATCATTGGCATTATTACGTTTGCATTATTTTACTCTATTATTATGTTATTACATTTATTGTACTCTATTAATTTTTATTATTATTACTACCTGTACCCACCTCGCAGTCAACATTTCCTTCCTTCTTTCTCTCCTTTCTTTCTCCTTCCTCCTCTCCCTCTTCCTCTCCCTCCTTCTCCCTTTTCTCCCTCTCCTCCTTCCTTCCTTTCTTCCTCCTCTCCTTCTTCTCCCCTTTCTTCTTCCTCTTCTCTTCCTCCCTTCCTTCTCTACCCGTCTCTCCCCATTCCCACGTCACGCTCCCGTTCTGCTCCGAACACCCTAAGCACTCCTCCCCTTACGAGCGGCGTTTACTATGACCCCACTCCCCATTACCTACTCCCCCCCCCCAAGAGAGCCCGCTCCACCAGTACCTTTTATTTTACCAGTAGCTGCTGCATTTCCCACCCTTGCTTATACTCGAGTCAATAAGTTTTCCCAGTTTTTTTGTGTTAAAATTAGGTGCCTCGGCTTATATTAAGGTCGGCTTATACTCGAGTATATACGGTATACCTTTTGCTGTGTGCCTTTTAAATCATTTTCAAAGACATCTGAAAAAAATGATCAGTACAGGTTAAAGAAAATTCCTATAAGTTAAGATGGAAATGGGACTTACTTACTTACTTACTTACTGTATATACTCGAGTATAAGCCTAATTTTTCAGCCCCCTTTTAGGCTGAGAAAGCTCCCCTCGGCTTATACTCGAGTCAAAGTTATTTATTATTTTGCTTTGTTATTACTATTAGTAGTAGTAGTATATTAGTTTGATTTCCTTCTTGTTTTTCTCCTCCTTTTCTCCTCCTTGTCCTCCTCTTCCTTCTTCTTCTCCTCTTTCTCCTCCTTTCCTCTCTTCCTTCTCCTTCTTTTCCTTCTCCTCCTCCCCTTCTTCTTGTTCTCCTTTTCCTTCTCCTGCTTCTTCCTCTTTCTCCTCCTTCACCTCCTCCTCCTCTTCCTTCTTTTCCTCCTCCCCCTTCTTATTTTCCTTCTTGTTCTCCTCCCCCTCCTCCTTCTTCTCCTCCTCTTCCTTCTTCTTCTCCTTCTTGTTTCTTGTTCTTCTTGTCCTCCTCCTCCTCCTTCTCCTCCTTCCCCTTCTTCTTGTTCTCCTTCTATCACCTTCTTCTTCTTCTCCTCTTTCTCCTCATTCTCCTCCTTCTTCACCTCCTCCTTCTCCTTCTTCTTCTCATCTTTCTCCCCATTCTCCTCCTTTTCTCGCCTCCTCTTCTCCTCATTCTCCTCCTCCTCTTCCTTCTTCTTCTCCTCTTTCTCCTCATTCTCCTTTTCCTTCTCCTCCTCCTCTTTCTCCTCCTCCTCCTTTCCCTTCTTCTTGTTCTCCTTCACCTTCTCCTCCTCCTCCTTTCCCTTCTTCTTATTCTCCTTCACCTTCTTCTTCACTTCCTTCATCACCTCCTTCTCCTCCTCCTCTTCCTTCTTCTTCTCCTCTTTCTCCTCTTT